TCTCTCACCACCAGATGTATGTCATTGACGGCCGACTTCTTGATGATGTCGTGCACCTTATCGGTGGTAAATCCGGCCACGTTTTCGCCGTTCAACTGCAAGATCTGATCACCAAATCTGAGTCCAACCATTGCTGCGGGAGAACCGTTTTGGACAAACACCACAAATACGCCCTAAAGCGCAACAATCGTCATATACATTGTGATCAACCATTTAAGACATCGTTATCGGTATACAAACCTTATTGATGTTTTTGACTCGGAGGCCGACTCTGGAGTCTTTGTCTTTGCAAACGACCACTTCTCTGATACCATGCGTCACATTGGCTCTCAAGAGTCCCACAGAAGTGCCAGAAATGGGAGCAATCATTGATGTGTTGGACACCGAAATAGCGTTGTGTTGGGGAACAGACACAGCATTGGTTTGGTTGTGAAGGACAGCCACTTCTTGTGATGTGAGTGAGAGTCCCATCCAGTCGTTGAGCTCTGGATATAAAGCGCCGTTTTTGGCATCACTTGACACCGAAGATCCGTTGCCGAGTGTTGGGTACGGCGCCGATGGGGGCGACGGGTAGGCCACCGATGGCACCACATATGGCTGTTGTTGCTGTGCCTTCACAGTGACCACCGATTAGATCATTGCAATCATCACCAAATGGCAAATATACTCACTCTTATCATTTGGTCCACTTTCATGTCCTCGAGTGACGGGTAAAGTGCAGACATTTTCACAGTTGTGTCGTTGACTACAATGAATGGCAGAGAGGGTTATAATGAGACGAAGAGTTGGTCTAATGTGTTGTCTTTCACTGTCTCACTGTTTGTATGAATAAAGCGATTAATGTTTGGTTCAAAACAAGTGAGAGATATGAGCGAAATGTCGAAACAAACACTCTATGCGTCCATTCGTTCACTATTTCATACATCAAATGAAAGCATCAGATGTTTGCTATTGTATTGACATAGCGTTCAGTGATTCAATCATTTTCTCGACTCACTATTGGTTCACACAATCTGTCTGTACTTTCCATTAGTTTTCAAGTACTGTTCATTTACTCGTTAGGCGTCATTCACAAAGTACGTACGCAAAAATATGGTCAAAAATTGACCCCCCCTCCCCCCTAGGCGTGCGTACGTACTTTGTGAATGACGCCTTAGTAGTCTATCGATAGTATAAGACTTG